TGTTCCTATTTTATTGTAAACTGCCTTTAGCTTTGGAAAAGACGCACGGTGTCGCCCAGGGACACTTTAGGAAGAGGTTGTCTTTAGGGTTAAAGAACGGATGGGAAATGAGGAAGTTGACACCTGCCTCAACGCACAACACCGAACGCCATTAGGAAGACTTATTGTTCCGCCGTTCATTTCAGACAAATCAATGAGTGCGGCAACGTTCCCTTCATCATTTTATGATTAGTTCAATCCACCTCCATCTATATCAGCTGGAGATATTTAAAATGCCAAGGGTGGGGGTGGGTGGGGGCTCACAATGAGAAAGGCAAGTACAAAGCAGGCTTGCACATTTGTAGGACTTCACGAAGAAGAGGTGGCGGCGTGCCATTCCACAAAGGGGCTGGGGTGTTTGTGAAGGAGACTTGTGGTTTTGATCGAATACAGAGGCTTTGGGGAGGGAGGGGGATAACTTTTTTTTTGAACTACAAGGGCCAGATCATACCAGCCATCGACATACTATAGAGAGGGAACTGATTCTAGAAGTTACAATCCAAAGTCAGGCCAGATCAGACAGCACCTCTTTCGAGATCCACGCCCCTCCATACACGATGTGAATTTGGCGTATCGGTCCAATCTCCACTGCTACCCAGTGAAACAACGCTCTCAAAAAATCCACTGAGCATGGACCCAAGTCGCACTGCTGGCATGTCATACGTATCACAGTACATGATTTATCTTTCTCTCTATGCAGAAACCAACGACTTGAGGGGTGCCTCAGAATTTTCGTATACACACTTTTAGAAACGTTGGTGTGGTTTCTGGCAGGATACTCTGGATATGTCAACAGAGAAACTACCTCACATACAAAAGTTGGAGGTATGTTTCTTCCATTCCAGTTTGCCATCTGTATCACATAAATGATTATCAATAAAGCAACCAAAAGCCTGTGGTACCTTAAGGACTAACATAATTATTGGAAAATCTGTTTGATGAAGCAGGTTCTGTACAGGCCACAAAAATCTCATATTATATTAAATTGGGAAAGTCTTTAAGGAGCTACAACACTCTCTGCTGTTGTGGCTGCACAGAAACAATACTGTTTAATCACATAAATATTAAAGTCACCCTGCCCAAAACACTGCAAATTCTCTCTGCAGAACATTGCTATATTCACAAAAGGAAATTAACGCTCTTCTTCAATTTTTCCCCCCTTGGGTCTAGGCCACACACACACACCAATGAGAACAATTAAGAAGCCACTGTTTTTTTTCCACACAGGGGAGTAAGCCCGGGAGAGAGAAAAAGAGAAGCAACACGTCAAACTCTCTCTCTCTCTCTCTTTGCCCTGCTCATCTGATTGATTCCCCAACACCTTTCCGGCACACACTCTATCAGTTTATCTCTCCCACTTCATCACCGTCATTCCTCGCAGCTAAATACAAGATTCCAAACCCAGCCTTACGCAGACCAGACACAGTAAACCCATGTAAGAGCAACACTGCTCTGTACAGAGCTGCCCTTGAGGGCTTGGCTGGGTGTTCAGTTCCCAGTCAAGCTCGCTGGCACTAGACGCCAGCCGCATCTGAAGGAGCTATTTTAGGCAAACCTGTTCCTATTTTATACCATAGGGGGTGGGGTTGATGTTTCTTCTTTTCAAAAAAAATAATAATAATCTGCAGCCATCATAGCAAAAGATTTTTTTTCCTGCAAAGGGATTGCTAGGTATGCTCAAGAATACAAAATGCATATATGGGAAAGAGTAAGCCAACTCTGGACCAAATCAGAGTCCAGAGTTGTTGATCCTATTTTTAATACTGGCCAATATCTTACTGAGCTTTCACTAATCAGAAAACCTCGCCTTGCGGATGTACAAGAGAGCAGGCATTTCCTGCTTGTGCAAAAACATGGATGCAGGCAGCGCAATGCCAGGATACCAAGGTGGTGGGACATTGCACCCAGGGGAGGCTCAGCAGGACACTGGCCACGATTATCGGTTAGCTTTTAATTTCACATTTCCTGGAGGATGCTCAGGATAATGGAATATGGCTCTCATATTTCTCAAAACAACCCTTCAAGGTAGGTCAGACTGAGAGTGACTCATCCCATGGCTTGATGGGGACTGGACTCCAGATCTCCAGAGTCCAACATTATAATGACCACACATTTTTCTCCTAGGAATAATCCCAATGACTATAATTCAGGTTCCTTCTGAAGGCACGTGTACAGAACTGTGCTGCAACTCCTAAAACCTTTGTGACACTGCACACTACTGAAGTTTCTTTTTATATAACTTTATCTGTTCCATTTGTCATTTCAAGATACTGCTGTGAAAAAGGCACAGGCCACTGACTCCCATCAGTATAATTACCAGTACTGTACTGGCTGCGTACAAAATGCTGGTGGGACCAGTTCTGGTCACTGCATCTCAGAAAGGACATTGTGGAGCAAGGCAAGGTGCAGAAAAAGGACACTTGGAATGGTATGGGGTTGGAACTATCCTACGGAGAAATGTACATGCTTTTTAGATTAAGGGTGAGGAGTGTTATCTATGCGATTTATAGAGAGAAAATAGATAGGGAGAAACATTCTTCACTCATGTGAAACATTTGGGGAAGAAACATCTGATATTGTTGTGTGTTGTCAAGTTGCTTCCAGCTTATCAAGACCATAATAGGGTTTCCAAGGAACGCGAGATGTTAGTAAGTGGTTTACCATTACCACTGAGTTTCTGTGGCTGAGATTTAATTTAAATCACATGGATTTAAATCACAATTTAAACTGGATTCTTTTTACTATTTAAATGTAAAAAAAAATTAATCATTTTAAATGGTGATATAAACTGTGATTTAAATCAACTTGATTTAAAAAAAAAAATCATTGATTTTTATCTGTCCTGAAAGTCAGGTTGGCTCTGCCTTGCCTTTTAAAGACTTGATTTAGTTTTTTCTGCTCTCTCATTCACGGTATCGCAGCCTTGGTATTGCATCATGTTCCAGAGTCACATCGAGGGCATGGGATACAGAATGAAGGATACACTAATTTACTGAAGAAAGTACTGTTCTCTTTCTTCCTCTCCCCTTCCCCCCCCCGCAACATAGGGCCTTTAAAAAAAAGTGGATGAAAAAACTATTCCCCTGAGTTGTAATATTTCATTACGCTCAGCAATCCCAACTAGAATTTATTAGCCAAAACAGAGAAACTCTAGTCAAACCCCCACGTATTCCATTAAGAATGACAGATGGTTCTTCTAGTGTCTAATTATTAAGTAGGAAGCACAAGTAAATCAGACTATCAGCACGAAGCCCCGATGTGTGAAGACTGAGACAGAGTAGAGGAACTTCAGGGAACGGCTGTAATTGAACAACTGGGCAGGGGGGAAAAAAAACGAGCGCCAAAGAGTTCTCTCCCGGACCCCTAAGCAGGATGAAGAGGTCTCCAAATGACTTTCACTAAGGCTGTTTCCTCGTTGGTCGTCCTCCGAAGCACAGCAGTTTGGCTTGATTGCATGAGTCCATCTGTAGATACTGACGAAAGATGTCACCAAGTGAAACCTTTTCATTTTGCTTTGGAAGTCCTCTACACAGTGTAAGGCATTTCAGACTGAGCTGGAAGGGAAGTGGGGGAGCACATAGGAGTCCTCTCTGGCCCAATTTGCAAGGATTACACATCTTAAAGGCAAGCAAGGGTGGAAATCTCCCTCCTCTAGTTGCTAAACTACAATCTAGTCATACGTAGCATCCGTCTTTAAAACCCTGAGTAGTTTTGGAAGGTCACTCATTCATAGGGTTGCCAAAAGTCAGGGGTGACTTGACAACACAGAACAACAAAAAAATCTGGAAGAGTAGCAAGTGATTCCTGTCAGCTGTTTGTCCTTTGGTAGGTCAACACTTACATAAATTCAATTGATTCAATGGGTCTACTCTAGTTGGGACTAGCAATGAGATTTAGACCAGGATACTGGACTACGTGGGGTGGACAACTTCAATAGGCCCAGAAGCCAATTTTCTATACCCTGCATCCTTTAGGGACTCCCAGTGTGGTGTAGTGGATAGAGTGATGGATTAAGACTCTGGAGAACAGGGTTCGAATCCCCACTTGGCCATGGAAACTCATTGGGGGACTTCAACTGGTAAATTCACTCCTTAAATATCTCACTTACCTTGAAAGACCTATTAGGGTCGCTGTACGTCAGTTCCAACTTGACAGCAAAGGACACAAGCATCCTTTAGAGATGTACAGACAGACAAAAGGGGAGGCGGGTTTGCAGCAGAACAACAAATGTGGAAGTTGCTGTAAATTCACTTCTGGGTTTGGCAATTAAGGCATTAAACTATGCAGGGGGATCTGTAATCTATGGAAAAGGTGAATGGCAGCTACTGGAGACTTCTAGGAGCAGCAGTAAACTTTTGAGAGAAGGAGTTGGAAGGGTTTCATGTGCCCCCAGGCTTACACTAAGCCTACCCCTGGAGACCATGTATCAACCGTCTAAAACTAGAGTACTCTCCCTCATACTCTTCATTTCAGCTCTGGAGTGAATACAGAACTACCAGCTGCTGAAAAAAAAAAGCATACATGGATGAGATCTACTTCCACCTCCACAGAGACTCACTGTAACCTACTCCCAATACAAGAGACTTGACCCCTCCCGCATTAATTACAAAACTTAGATGACAAAAAGGTGCCGTTTTCATAGTAACCCATTAAGGAAAGCCCCTTAAACCAAGGTTTAAAACATGCTATTAACCATCTACTCAGCCATTCCGGAGACAGGTGCCTGTGATAAAGAGTATTGTATTGCCATTAACCTATAGGATGGCTGGAGGCATCTCCTGTTTCTGCAAAAAATTTCTAAACACATCTAATGAGAGCCACAAGATCAACTGTCCATATTAATCGCTCACTAGTTTAATTAAGGTAAACCAGCCTGTCAGAAAGAAAGAGGAAAAAAAGGGGGAGGGGGAATGCAAAGCCTCTTCCTCTCCATTTTTCACCATTATTGACTTGTAATAGTTCACCAGGTATTGTAATTACTCTTCAATGTGGCATTATCAGGAAACCTCGTGTGGGTGTATACGTAATAACAGGAAACACTTGGATTGTTACACCAAAAACTCACTACATGCCTTCAAACTAGGAACGGGCAAAAATTCGGTAAAACCGAGGAGAAAAAAAAATATTGCTTTAATAAACCAGATTTAGCATTTTTTTTTAAACCAAGGGAGGTTCAGATACTGTTAGTGCAGGGTGATGGTTAGAGCATTGGAGTACGAGATGGAAGACGCGGGTTTAAATCCACACAGCCTTTGACCAGTTACACAGACTAACTTCCTCCACAAGGTTGTTGGGAGATGAAAGCGAAGAGGACGGAAGCCATGGACCTTTCCTTGAGCTCGCGGCAGAAAAGGCAAATGGAAATCTAACAATCAATCAAATAAGTTTATAAAACAGGGCTCAGCAGAAAGACAGTTCGGGATCTCCTGGTACAACGGATTTGCAGCAGGCTTACAAGAGTTCAGTTCCCAAAAGGAGGAGTAGAAGCTGGAGGGAGAAATCGCTGGAAAGCAGATCTGTGCCTGCCAACGGTACAAGACACCAAGAGCGGGAAAGACAGTGTCCCAAGAGGTGGTAGGTCACAACGTTGAGCTAAATGAACGTTGAGCTAAATGGACCAATGATCTGAGAAAACTGATAAAGCACCTTGTTGTGTTTCTAGAATCATTCTTTCCTCAAAGCAACACTTGAGCTCAATTTTGTATCAGCCTTCCGAATTTTTAACAGGGGAAGCCATGTAGCTGAGGTAGATCAATGGTAGGTCACCCGTTACCTCCAGACAGGGCCGGGGGAAACTCCTACCTGAAATCCGGTACAGAGGCTTCCAGTCAAGTGTCAACAATATTAAGCCAGACAGGCCAATGTTCTGATAAAGGAACTTGAGCTGTTTCCAAGCCGGTTTGGTACTGGGAAACTTGCCAAAAGCCCTAAGGATCAGTAAGCACAGCTGATGCTGGTCCACGCAGGCAACAGTGAAGGACTCTGTATAAGGCAACTGTTTATCTTGGGTCACCATTGACACAGGCCTAAGCACAATAACAGCAAAGGAATGTATGACACACACACCACCCCCCGATTTCTGTTTCAAGGCTTTCCGCCACTGCCTCCTTTTTCAAATTGTTATTCATTTTCCGGAATGAAAAATGGTACTTTATTCTAGATAGATCAGGATCAAGAATGGGAGGACTGCAGTAAAGATCAGGCTACTTGCATTCTACATTAGGTATGGGCTCTTTCGGGTTTTTCGTGTTGTCTGTTTTTGTTTGGTTTGATTTTGGACTCCAGCAATGGCTAGGCCCTCCCGGGCACAGAGGAAGCCTTGCTGCCCATTAGTTCTTTGGGAGGTGCATTATAAAGGGCAACTCCCAAAGAACTACAACTCAGGAAGCGCCTTAGCAGCTCGCTTTTTTCGCATTAACAATGGGAAGCCAAGGGCAGAGGAGCTGTTGCAGCCTCACGTTCAGCTGTTTTCCGGATGAATAAAATGCAGGGGTCTGCATGTGTGTGTTTTTGTGGGCTGGGGGGGGGGAAAGAGATAGGATATTCCTAATCTAAACCACTTTCTCGCATATGTGTGTTCATTCTATCCCATTTCATCCTCAATCTGACACTTTTAAATCTGAAAAACTGCCCTTGTCTAGACAGCCACTGCCTGTCAGTGTTGACAACACAGGAAGAGATGGCTCAAGGACCTGACAAAGTATAATGTGGCTTTTGTATTCCGGTTTGAGCAGCAGGGCTGAAACAAAGCACGCCCGACAAGGATGGAAGATTCTTCCCGATAATACAACTGCGATAGGGTTGTCCCATTACACATCACACAACACCAGGGGTGGGAGGGAGACGACACCTTATTCCAAATACTGCCTACCACTCTTCCCCACTCCACCCCAGAGCAGCGTCTCCGCTCCAGCTTACTCAGGTGACAAATAAAAGGTATGCTCTTTATGAAGCCAGTTTAATTGCGAAGTGACAGAAAACATACAGCCGCATTTCCCTCCTCGCCGTCTTATCAACAAATAAGACTTCACAGTTCCAATCTCGCTGCCAAATCCCGCTCAACGGAAGAAAATTAACCAGGTCAGTGGAACAGGTACTCAGCGGCATCTGTCAAGAGGTCTCTGGCATCTTCTCAATTACTTGGGACACAATGAAGTGGTAATCTTTACAGATCATCTCTCCCAAGAAGCATAGTGTGGATGGCGGGGAAAGGGGGGGGGTCTGAAGAGAGAAGGCCACGAAGGGGAGGGAGGCGGCAGGAAGCAAAAAAGACAACAGGCAACAATACTTGTGCCTCTTGGGGAATGCTTGTATGTCCACATGGGATGTGCGAGGTTGCAAATAAACTCTCTTAGCCTGCTGCTAAATCTGAGCAAGGACTGAAGTGACCAAACTTTCAAGGACTGTTGGCACCGAGAAACCCACTCCTGCCTTCCTCCAATCAGTGGGTAAAGATAAGCCATCAAAACAGCCGGCATTCAGGACCCAGTCTTTCCCAAAGGTAATTTTTAAATACAAGATGTCAGCCACTATTTGCACATTTACTGGAGAAAATGCGCCGGTTCTTGCTGTCCTCCAGAACTGGTCACCCCAGTCCAAAACAAGACTGCAGACACAAAGGAAATAACCAAGCACGCAACTACCCACGGAAGCCTCATTTGCTTAGACTCAGTCTGCTTCTCTTCCTTACCAAGACCTCTATTAGTTTAAGTTTTAATTTAGATTAACCCTGGCACCCCAATTACCTGGGGAGAGGATGACTAAAGATGAGACACACTCCATTCGGTCTGAAGAAGGAAAGCACCAAATTGAAAGAAATGAAGGGGAAAAAAGAAACCTTCGCTTGCGATTGCAACCCTCGGCTCCCACCTCATCCTTCCACTTGACATCCCGTCCTAACCCACTCGCCCGGGTCAACTGCTTGGTTTCAGCAGCACATGCTGATGGGTAGGTTGCCTTGATGGCAGCTCAAGCTTCAGTCTTATCAAATTCTAGCAGTCGCTCGCACAGACTCGACAGATTACGGAAGTCTCCCCAGACTGAAAAAAATAGATGCTGCGGCAATCCAGCAAGACTCCCCCGCTAGCTGGAGATTCAGATCCCACTCAAACCCATAGGAGACAAGCCAGGTTGGTATATCTATTCTGCTGCCTTGTTGCTGAATGCAGGAAGCTGCAACCAAAATATGGTGCTCTGAAAAATATAATACATGCAAGCCGAGTGCTCAGCCCGTCAGATTTTTTTAAAACTCAGAAAGTATGTTAGCGTTATGTAATATAGACTGCATTCACATGTTATGCTTAGCCCTGGTGCATGGTCTGTTGAGCTCTAGCTTGTTGCAACATGCAAAAATGCATCCGCCAGCAAGCCATCGTTTATTGACCAGCTACAAACCATAGTCTGAACCAAGGTTTATTCTTGGCTTATGAACTTGTCATGATGTCTGATCATGATGTCTGAAACTGAAAACATGGCTTATGCCTGCGTCCTTTCCCTGCTGTCTGTCCTGAAACAGGGCTTGGCGGAGACAAACCGCCACAAACCACCATTGTTCAGATGCCTTAAAATTAACATGTTTAGATGCCTTAAAATTTCAGCACCTCACAAGGCAACACAATCTTACCTGATGATAAAAGTCGTCATCGTCAAAGATCTCCTTGTCTAGGTCCTTAAGGTGGGCGTTTGACATACTTGAGGGAAGGGCCTCCTAGGAAGTCAAGAAAAAGAGACAACATATTTGTGAGAACTCTTTGGGCTAGACCCCGGCTTACATACATGATCAGTGGCTTCTAGAGGCAGCTCTTATTTACTATTCTGCCATTCATAGCCTGCTTGGCTCCTGCTTTGACGACTGCACGACAGTTCAATGTAGTAAGTTGACATTTCTTTTTCATCTTGGTCCCTTTCTTCTCGTGATCTCTCCAAGCAAGTCTGTTATACCCTGCCGAAAATCCAAATAATTCCCCTGCTTCCAAACACCACCACCCCGGTCTCCAGTTGATGAAATTCCTTACCGTCTCCCCTGGCAAAGCTTCCGGAAGCAGCTCAGGAGCTGGTTGCAGCTTCCCCAGCACCCTGTACGCTGACCGCTTGGTATGCGTCCGCCGGAGTAATCTTTCTTTGTCCATCAGAATATGATCAATCTGAGTCAAGATTGAACGCTCAAAGGCACCGAAACCCTGCAAGAACATTAAGCACTGTCAGATAACATGGGAAAATCTGCTGCTCACGGCACTCACATCCCCCTTCTATCTTTTTGTGCCACTGGATAAAGCAGAAAGCGTTCCCTACACGAGAGGCTTTACTTGGGGATTTCAGCTGGATTTCTGCACAGCATAGGTTTTATTTATATTATATTGTACATAAATACTGTCCCCAAGGCAGGCAGAGAGAAGAAAGCTTCTCTTAATAGACTTGTTTTGTGGAACAACTACCAGATACGTAAACAGCCAGACCTTGTGAACAACTTGGATTATGACCTCAACAATGGCTAGTCCAACCCCCTTTTTGCTAGCTTGGGGACACAGGGTGGGTTGAGGGGCCGAAAGGCTAAATTAGATGTTCAGTCCCAACTCGAGGAGACCCACCGAATCAATGGAACTTAAAGGTTACCAAAGTCTCATTGCTTCAATGGCTCTATTCCAGCTGGGCTAGCCATTTATTTTAACCAGTGTGTAGCAAGAGTTGTAACGGCAGGGAAACACACTACAAAGCGCTCTGTTAGAATGACAGTTTTGTATAACTTCACTGGTTACTGTGGAATCTTTGTAGCAGCAGCAGCAACAACAACCAGAAGAACAAAGGCCAGTTTCTCAAGAGTGCATTTTGCACTGCACTGTTAAAAAACATGCAAACTTCTAAGCTATGTTCACTGCAGAGGGTGGAAACGAGGGCGTGCTTGTCCTATTCTGGCGTCACAGTTTCCCCTTGCTTGTAAATTCTGAGAGCAGAGTAAAAAAAAAACTATGCTCAGCTGTAAACCACTATGACAGGAAATCCTAGTCTTCTCTCTCTCTCTCTCCAGACCACCATGGAGTCTAAGTGACTATGCAGGCTAGATTGCAATTCCCATGATTCATCACAGGACTAACTTTTCTTCTTCTTTTTTTTCTCTCTCTCTCTCTCTCTCTCTCCAGACCACCGTGGAGTCTAAGTGACTACCCAGGCTAGACTGCAACTCCCATGATTCATCACCAGGACTGACTTTTCTTCTTCTTTTTTTAAAAAAAGGGATCATTTAGAAGGCAAACATCAAGATCAACACGACCTTTATAGAGCACAAACATGGCGCACCTGCCATGTGGACTGTGGGAGTAAAGCCAGTGGCCCTGCCAATGAAAACTCCCCACTGTCTTTCGCAGAAATATACTTTTTGCATATACTAAGTTTCCCATGGTGCACTCATGCACACACCCACACATACACCAAACTATGTGCATTTGCATTGAAGCCAAAGAATCATGACCTAACCTGTGGACTGCCCAAAGGTGTACCACAGAGCTACATCATAGGGCCCCCCCCAGCCCAAAAATAACATATTCTAGTTACTTTCTAGAAGAATTTATTCAAAACTTCTTCAGCCAATGGCCTTGAAAGCCAGACATTTATGGCATGGACACCAGTCCCGCTAAATTTAGATAAGCCACCCTTACCTTGCCCAGCTTGCCAGAAGCCAGCTTGGTCCTGTCATGCCACTTCTGTAATGTGCTGTCCCTGTACGCACGGAAGTCTGCAAAGCGCTTGGCGGCAAACTCCGGGAAGTCTTCCATTTCCAGTTTCCTTTTGGGTGGCCTTCGCCTCGCCCTCTTCCTTGCCTCGCCCTCTCCTACATCTTCTCCGCCGCTTTCACTAGGGACCTCTTCATCACTAAGATAAAAAGCAGATCACTCTCAGGGCCGGAAGGGTGGAATATCCAGGGAAAGGCTTCATGTGATACCGTGATGGCTGCCAATCTGGAAAGCTTTAAGAGACAACTGGATGTATTTTGGGAGTGTGAGGCCATCAAGGGCTAAGAGTCAGACTTTGCCTCCATAATGGATTACTTTTTTCAACACTATAACAAGTAAAAACAGGGATTACTTTTCGAACAGTGTAATGAGCAATGGGAACAAACTGCGTTGATTTTGTATTATTTATTCACAATAGAGGACAGTACAGGAAAAAAAATTACTGCTTATGATAGGTCCTAGATCAAATCAAGCCTGAATTATCTCATGGGGGACGGGGACGGGACACACATGCTGAAACAAAGGCTGTTCGACTTTGGGCACATCATGAGAAGACAGAATTCTTTGGAAAAGACAATGATGCTGGTGGAAGGCAGCAGGAAAAGGTGGAAGGCAGCATATGGGATAGACTGGATGCCTAAAGGAAGCCACAGGCTTGAGTTTGCAAGAGCCGAGCAGGGCTGTCGAAGAGAAGGCCATTTTCGAGATCTCTCATTCATGGGGTCACCATGACTTGAGGGCAACTTGAGGGCACATAACAACAAAGGATGGGAAGGGCCAATGGGAGTTGTAGTACAGCAACATTTGGATGTCTACATACATGTTCTCCAACTTGATCTAGGTCTGGAATCTCAAAAGCAGGTTGCAAATATGTCTGTCTGTCCTTATACCCACAGATTGTAGTGTCCCGTGTTAATTTCCAGGGGCAGCCGTGTGCTTGTTGGAGGGGAAAAACACCTTGTGGCAACTCTATTTGTTGAGACTTTAAGGCACCCTAGGATATGTGGCATCTAGTGGACACAAGATCTCTGAACAGGAAGGACGGGACACTGGCAGAACTTCTCTATGAGTTCTTCCAACTTTCCTTTTAAAGCCACCTACTCTGATGGCTTCTCCGACACTTCTGCCTGCAAATTCCTTATGATAATTATGTGCTGGGCGAAAAATCATTTTCCTTCTGACTCTTTTGGATGTTACTGTCAATTTATTTGAGTAGTTAAGTTATGGGAGCAGGAATTTTTTTTTTATCCACATCCCACTTAATTTTATAAAACCTTCAATATATTTACCTAAAAAAATCTCTCTAAATTAGAATGCCCTGTACTGATTCCATCCAGTGTTTTGAACTGCGTCATCCTTAACCGACATGACCAATGGCCGAGGATCATGGGAGCTGAAGTCCAAAGTCTCATTACAGCACCAAGTTGCCTAACTCGGTATAGTTCTTGCCAGGAAAAGCGCCCTCAATCCAAGATGAAGAACTGACACCCCTCCCAGGTTCTTCAACATGTGGCTGATTTGCATTACCTGTCCTTTTTCACCTGTTCTCCATCTACCAGATGCCTTGTGCCAGAGTACTGATGCAACAGCTCATCCTGAAGGTCTACCAAGGTCCTCACCAAAGCCTTCAGTGCTTTGTAATCTGAAGGAGAAAAATGAAAAACAGGTTGCGCAACATAAGAAAGTGCAGGAACATTTTGTGTGTGTGTGTGTGTGTGTG